AGCACAGATGTGATGACCCATCCAATCCTGACTGAATGCATCTACACCCAGAGCTGATGAGTGTGGAATGGGAAACAAAAAGGATGGAAGTTTGGTGTTTCAGTGTGTGGCAAAGGCATCAAAAAGTGGTGTTCCCAGTTGAGGAACACCCCCAAAAAAAAACATGTGGATGAAGGGACCACTCTGTAGGGTGAACCTCGTTGGAATGACATAAATCAATCGGCAACCGAATTTATGGCTCCAGGAACATGGCAAGCTAACACCACCATGTTTTGAACATAGGCCCAGAAAAGAAGATCCAAAGCCAAAAACACAGAGATCTGGATTTGATTGTACCTTGCTTGGTGATAAAATTGATGACATTGGAATTGTCGGAGTGGAACATAACCAGCTGCCCTCACAGGAGTGGAAGAAAATGAATCAAAGCCTGACAGACTGCCAAAAGCTCAAGGATGTTGATGTGGAGTGCAGCCTCTTTTACAGACCACAGACCGTAAATCTCTTGAGAGTTGAAGAAAGCTCCCAACCCACCAAAGATGCATCTGTGAACAGATGTAATTCTGGAAGAGGTGGAGGAATAGGAACCCCCACTGTGGTCTGATACCTGATCAAGAACTGTCTACTGAAGTGAATGCATATGAGCTCAACCCATGGGAATGAGAGCTTCCAAGGAAGCCCACGTCTCCAAAAAATAGAAGAGAAGAAGGCTGTGCCTGATTAAGGTGTGAAATGAAGAAAACCCTTAAATGAACCAGGTCCTGTGTGGGGGTAAGAACAAACTTCTTCATCTTGATCAGAAAACCTACACATGCTGCTTCTTGTAGAAACAAACATATGTGATTCACTGATTGGGAACAAAAATAGGTGAACATGGGACAGTCATCCATATAATGATGAGTGTGAAGACCCAGCGAGTGAAGGTGACGAGCAAAAGAGGGAATCACATAACAAAACACATAAGGAGCTGAAGAGAGAGACTGAACAGCAGTGCCCTGAACTGGAACCCTTGACCCTCGTGGACAAACTGAAGAAAACAACACGACTCTGGAGCAATGGGAGTGTGAAGATAGGCATCCATCACATTTAATTTGGTCATCTTCTGATAATACCTCAGGAAATCGACAAAAGGCCTCAGACATTAATTGGAAGAAGGAAAGGTAGTGTAAAAGTGAGGTCAGGGAAAGTTAAATCCTGGAAAATTGTGCCTAATTGAAGAGGACAGAAGCCCCACAGGGGAAAGAGAGGATCTAAATGTTGAGAATCCAAAAAGGGTTCCGAAGTGGGATGATAAGCCAAGGCATATTGACCCAACAAATGAGAGGGATGGGCATGCCTATACCCAACTGAAGTTGATCAGATAATCTCTGAGAAAGAACACTTATATCTGGAGAAGGACAAAAACGTAATAATTAGAAGGTGGGGTTTCACCCAACAAGGCAGGGGAGAAATCAAAGACTATAGCGGAAACATCTAAAACATGACATACCTGATTGACAAGTTGTAGGAAGGGAGTGGGAGGTGTAATGTCCTGAATGGGTGTAGACTGTAACAGACTAAAAAAGGAAGATGCCAGAAAAAAAGCTCAAATTTTCTTCCTCTTGATGGTAGGCCTCCTCAGAAAGGTGGACAGGTAGAAGAAATCATTAGCTGAACACAAGAACTCCCTGCAAACCAAGGCTTGAGCTTCCACAGCAGATAAAGTTGATCCCATGTCCTGGGAAGTCCTGTATGTGTGTTGCTATCTATGGCAGGAATATCACTGCCACATTAAATCTTGAATTCATACTAAAAGCATAGGATTCAGAAACAAGAATTTAGTTAAATGCAAAACTGTAGAAATAATTGAAAATAAATGTGAAACTAAAAAAATTGTGAGATTAAACTCATAAGAATTAAAACACATGTCTAAATTGTGTCACGCTAATCAAGAAAGTGAGGACTGAGCAGGACTAATAGAGGGAGCTACTTGTGCCATTAAAGGTGGCACAATACTACTGGTGGAGAGTAGTCACAATATGTACATGTTCCGAAATGCTGTAAAACTGCTGGGGTATAAAGACTGGTGTGCTGCTTACTAAACTTCTTTTGGCAATACTAAGAGGACAGTCAACAATCAAGATAGCCTTTGTGTGAGAGGAAAATTGCTAAACTATTACTACTGTTAATAACACAGTGTGTCCTGCAAGTTATTTTGGCCACACAACACACTACCATGTACTTTGATGTCAGTAAACCATACTGGTTGCTAGAGTATATATTTTCATATAGTGACAAGGTTTTGATAATGTTATAAGATTATGCACTGTGTCTCTCATATTTAAATCAGTCTGGCACCTACAGGGTGTGAAGACTAGCATACAGAAAAGATGTTTGCACATGGCAGGTTTTTCTCACTGCCTTTAATCTAGTGGTATCCAATATGTGGTATTTTAATCTTCTTTTTTTAAAAAAAGCTTTATGTGTAAAGAACAATTGGTGTTTGGTGATGAATTTAATTAAAGTAGTTTACAAGTATGTTTATTTTTTGTTATGCTTTATTGTGAAAAGAGATGAGGGAATTTCTTCTCCACAGAAGACCAATGTATATGTAAGAAGTAATTTTTATGTTATATTAGGCCTAGGTTATTATTAGGTCTTATAAAATCAAAGTTGTTATTTAATCTTCATTAAGCCTCAGTCAAGTAAATCTAACCATGATAGTTCAAAATTCAAGCCTTCAATTTCCTTTAATCAACTGCAAGACCAGAGAAGTGCCAGGAATCAATCTTAAAGGTACATCCAAAACCAGACATTTTGTACTGGTATTGACTATTTAGTAATAGTACTGGTAAACTTGACGAAAAAGGCTTTGAGCTAACATTAGAAGTTTTTAAGTTTTATTCTTACCCTTCAAATTACTGACTTATTTACATACTGTTTACTAACAGTAGGATCACCTTCTGAATAATTTTGTTTTTGTCTAGCACAACATTCAGTGTAAGAAATTGATCAAATAACTGTAGTAAAAATGAAAGTTGACATTTTCCTTTACTGAAAATGTATTTTTTCTGATAGATACTCACACAAATCGCTATTTTCCTCTGAAGTCTCACTTTCTGCCTAAAAAACTTGCAGCCTTATGAAATCTCTCACCTAGAATTCATATGAAACACGTGAATTTACACTACTGCATGATAACATATCATGCAGCAAAATCCTCCATCACACCTCCTTGCATAAATGCTCCTTCTGCATTCATGTGCAAAAATCCTCATTCCTTGATGAAGCAACTAATATAAAATTGCACCAATAAAGTGGGGAGGAAGGGTGGGAATGTGAGTATTTATCAGAAATATGTTTTCATTTAATGAAAATGTTAATTTTGAAATGTTCACCCATCTTTGTACACAGATATCTAGAATTCCACATTGAGATGTTGGAGGGACAGGTTCAAAATTTAACTAGACGAGCTTCCTCATCAAGCATCCGAAAGAAGCCCTTGGGGTGTGACATCCTATGGCAGGAGCTCCATAGGAATACCCTTGTGGGAGACCACATTTCATCTCATCTACAGTTTTCCTCTTTGCCCATGGTAAGGAAAAGAAGAGGCAAAAGGCCTGAATTGTGTCACAAGGTTGGGCAGAGTAGGTAAATGACAATCCAAGTACTCACACATAAGTCATTGGATGGCCAATATGTGTAGTGAGGTTTGGGCTGCTTCAGACTGTACCTAGTGTGCACACCTTCTCAACCATCAATCTCTATGGGTCAAGACCAGCTGTGGGAGATAGACACTTGTGATTCACATTCAAGTACATCTCCTATACCATCAGACTCTATAGGTCCCATTTCAGTCATGGGAGGAGAGTAATATAGTGAACACAAGTAGCACAAATATTTATGTAACCACTGCTTGACCACAAGATTCTATGGGCCCCTTGCTTGCTGTGGGAACAGGGTGTGTGAGCGATACATCACAGTTGGATATGAACGAATATCATCTACAGTGCCATTGGAAATTGAGGGTTCATACCATTACAAGAGTAGTAAATATGATAGAGAAATATGTAAGAGTTTGGTATAGTGATATGTGTCCAAAATTCAATTGGTGATTGTGATGTACCTATACAAAATGGGGGTGATCTGGACTACACTCCAGAAACATTTCTTTATTCACCAATATACAATTATTAAGCATCATACAATGACAATAATTTTATGTGGTACAACTTGTCAATATTTCATGTTTGTACATCGACAAATCACTACGAAAACAATATGACATACAAAAAATTTTTACAATAGCTGTTTCTTCAGCAATATTACTTCACAAATTAATAATAATCAAACTACAACGTAGGATGAGATATTTATGCATAAGCCTTTAGTAGTTGAGAGGCACTCTTCTCCCCAGACAAATAATCATATGCATCCCATTCAAAGTTATCATATACTTGAACATTTGATTTTGAATAAATTACAAACACCACCCATAATCTTATTATAGTTCTTATTTATAGTGGGGTAGAAAGATTGTAATGCTAGACCTTAAACAATTTATTGCATACAATTGCATTTATGTATTTTATCATATACAAGCCTGACTTGACCGGGACAACTTTGTATATGACTTAATCTTTTTCTGCTTAGAAAAAATTCAATTAAAATTCCAATGTTAATTATAGGTTCAAAAAATTCATTACTCTACATAAAAATCAAAACATCAAACTTTTCTCAAATTCATAATTTGCTGAATTTCTATACAGAATATACAAAACATAGAGTTCATAAGTATGTTAACAAATATAATTGTATTTGTAGTGGCACCAATACAGCCTTACTAAATTACTATTAATATATAGTACTAACTATCATACAGTTTTAGGTTGAAACTTGTAGTAGTTGTTCTTAAAAAAGATAAAGTATATAGAACTACTTAGTTTGCTTTTAATAAAAGGATTGCTAATATGAAAGTGTTTATTTTTTTCTTTAAAAAAATTGCAGAATAAAACAATACTTACTATACGACCCTCGTCGTAAACTAACTCTTCTATTTTAGACAAAATTTCACTTTCAGTAGCCATCTTCTTTTCCCGCGAACAATTCATTCAAAAGAAATGGCGGCGCTGCTGTTTGCGTATATGAATATCAAGTATGAAATACTAAACCACATAGCGTAACAACGAGAAAAAAATGTAAGATAATTTTAATAATTTGCATTTAACATTTTTGGAAACTATATTTCAATACTAAATTATATTAGTGGAACCCTCTGTTGAAAAATGTTATAATAACATATATTGCAATTATAAAGTTTGGAGACGGCTTGAATGGATAATGAAGAAAACTAGTGTTACGACAGCGGAGGTCACGTGCCCCTAGTAACACGTCATGATAATCTCGAAGGATCGTGAAGCCTCGAGTGTTTACTAGATAAGCGGTATTCTTGTATATAAGACCGCCAAGAAGTGACGGCAATAATGTAATTGAATTGCAGACAGAGATAGAGACGACAATTGAGTCAAGCGCGTGAATCGTTCGTTGTGAATTACAGCATTTGTTTGATTTATAGCGTGACTGTGGAAATTAAGTGCATCACAAAGTTGTATTGAGAAAGAATAAACTAGTTTTATTTAAGAAAAGACTTGTATCGGTAAAGTTTCTTCGGAAATAATTGTCTCCAACAGTTGCAGGAAAGTCAGCAGCAACTACAGGAAAGTCAACAACAGTGGCAAGAATTACAAATGGAAAACATAAAAAAAATTTAAAAGCGAATTAGATACATTAAAGGATGATATATTATATTTTTACACAAGGAGGATACATTAACCATCGACTTAATCAGCCCCAGACAATGGCAATCCCACTTCTGACACCAATTTGTTACGTCTCTGTTCGTTTTTTAATTTTCCGTAAAAATTATTTCCGACGCAACTTTAGCGATACAAGTCCTTTCTTATATAAAACTAGTTTATTCTTTCTCAATACAACTTTGCGATTCACTTAATTTCCACAGTCACGCTATAAATTAAACAAAGGCTATAATTCACAAGAAACGATTCACGTGCTTGACTCAGTTGTCGTCTCTATCTCTGTCTGCAATTCAATTACATTGTTGCCGTCACTTCTTGGCGGTCTTATATTCAAGAATACCGCATATCAAGAAGGGACATGAATTTTCTAGAAGCGCATGACGTGTTCCTAGCGTCACGTGATCTCCGCTGTCGTAACACTATTATATATGTACAACGTTTTGACAAGATTGTGTCATTATTAGTAAAAACACAAACGTCGAAGTTGAATAAAATTGACAGATTGTTTACTCTTGGAAACGTAAAATAAATTTGAAGCATATTTGGATGTTCAAGTACAGGAATTTCATATATAGTAAAAGTAAACATAGAAAGTTCGAGCACGCTAACCACCAGGTCATGCCAGGCTAATACTGAACAGAAACTGTGTGATTTGTAATTTCTTTACATACAAAAAAAAGTCAAATGAAAAAATATTGAACGTTCAACCTGAGAAATTTGAACATTCGTAAAAGTGGTTTGAATTAAGTAATCATCAAAAGAAAAAAGAGCTATCAGATCAGTACTTAACGCTAAAACCATCAAACTGAACAGTGTAAAAAAGCAAATATGTTTGGTATGTTTGTTTGTACTTAAGCACAAAGCTATCTGTATTCTGCCCACCACAGGTATCGAAACCCAGTTTCTAGCCTGTAAGCCCGCAGACATACCGCTGTGCCACTGGAGAGCAGTAAGTTTGGTGTTTGCAGGTAAGAACGTGTAGTTCAATGCATCATATTATAATGTCAATGTCATATTGATCCAGAAAATGTACCATTTTGTTTCGTTTAATAAAATAAAATTTCTGGGGACACATGCTCGCAGAACCCTCTACAAGACGACCACCTCGACGTTCATAAAACTTTAACGCGCGCTACAATTGTACTTTATCAAAATTCTCACTTAAACAGTTATCTTAACGTTTATAGCCCTGAGTATATATATTCCTTTCGCTCAGTTAGTATGAGCACTCGGCTGGTGTGTGTAATAAGTTTTTCGTTCAAATTCGAGGCAAGGAAAGATATGTTATAAAAATAAGTTATCACAGTAGTATAATTTGGTATCATCTGTAACTCCATCCGATGAACTGAAAATTTTGGAGGTTATCTTACTGAAAACGTCAGTGACATGTTTATAATTACTAATGAGGCTATGAATATGCTCAGGTTCATGCTTATTACAAGTTACAGTGATACAAGTTACTATGTTACATAAAATAATGTACCTTTGAATTGCACGTGGAGGTGTTGCATCTTTTATGTATATTTCTATTTAGCCTTAAAACCAGAAATAAACACGTTGGCCATGTTTACCTATAAATTAAAAACCCACAAACTTTTGGTGAAATACTGATTCAGCTTTTTATCAATGTTATTTTGGAGGTACTGCTCGTTTCTACCTAGAATATTTTGGGATTGAACACAGCTCAGTGGTTGTAGTGCCGGATCATGAGTGTGTTATAAGAGTGATGATCAAATACCAATATTTGGTTAGAGTAGCCCACGAATTGACGTGAGTGGTGTTCACTAGCTGGCTTCTCTCTAGTCGTTCACTTCAAAATCAGAGACAGCCAACGCAGATAGCCCACGAGAAGCTTTTTGCGAAATTAAACATACGAATACTTTTTCAGTCACGTTTGTGCTCTGATTGGTTAATAAATTTCGCCTATATATGTATTGTCCATATAATAATGTAAACTAGAGAACAGTTTCAAGAGTAATAATGCTGAAACATTAAGAAATACGTACTTGAGCTTCTCGGAATTTCTAAGATGCTTAAAATCATTTCATTTTTTACTTCATTTTCTCACTTTATGTTACTTTTTACATCTTACACAAACAGTTGTAAATGAAAGTTAAGACTCGTTTTAGAAATGTTTTTGGTAGTAACACGAAGAATTTTGAATATGTAGAAATTTTAAATGGTTTTTCATATTTAGTAGGCTCGGATTCGAAGCTGAAACCTTCCGACCCCCAGGTGAATGTCCTATCAACTGTTTTAAAAATATTATAGAAATTATTAGTGATACATTTCTTAACAACTTAAGCAACCAGAAGCAGATCCTTTTGAAAAAAAAAAAGATATATATGCGGAGCAGTTTCATTTCATAACCTCGATATTATATTACATGTCTAAAGCCTGGCATGTAACATAGTTTATGTATTATGCTCAATGTGTTATAATTATTTAAAAATTGTCGTAGTTAGGCTAAATGTTTTTTGTTGTATTTATTTCCATCCAAGTGGCAACCGCTGGAAAAAGATTCAGGAGGAAAAGACCATTTCATGAATAAATGAATAACTTATGAATTGGCTATTAATTTACAATAAAATTCCACAGTTCCTGTCTGTGCCATAGAGGAAGAATCACAGAAATGATAATATGTATGTCCACACCTAGACTTTTTGTGCTTCTAGATGTATTGGTCGTCTCATCCCTTCTCTTGGGATTTCTATATCTTCATCATATGCCACAAGACAGCATGGTATCCTTCACCTACGACTTACCCATACTTTCAAGAGCAAGCACTGAATACTAAAATTCTGCGATTTTTACAAAAAGCAAACAAACATATTTATGCTCCATTTGATCCACATTTCTTTCATCATTCAGTATTGATGAAGGGAACGTTTGTGTTGTTTTTTAATAATAATATACCCTTAACTATCTTCACCAAAACTTACTCAAAACAACACATATAGGGGGAAAACCTCCAGTATTGCTTATTCACAAAGACACAAACAAGTTTTATTGCAACTATTTTAAAAGATAAAACAATAATATCTTCAATAAGACCTACGTGTGTGCTTCACTGTTGCTATGGTAACAAAATCTTATATAAAAACTCTGAGAATATTGAAAATTTGCTATAAAAGATGTAAAGATACACTAATTATGCGATTTTGTTCTCAAAAAGGCAACATAATCAAGAGGAATCTTGGTCTGGAGAAGTGACAAAAGTCAAGTGTACACAAGTTGCTTACATAATATATCCATTCATCTGTCGCATACCTTAAGCAACTGGAGAATGAAACGGATATTCAAGCCAGTTATTAAAAAGATATACCGGTCAAGTTAGCTATGGATTTTTGTGTCATGGGATTGTTAAAATGGGCGCTGGAAAGCCATCATTCTTGTACACTAGGTTGTCTACGGAAAGCCTGCAGAGAGTAGTGTGTGTTTATAAAATGGAAGCCTTATAATGGAAACTAAGCTGCAGGGCAATTGTCAAGATGCGCAGATAAAGCATGACCAAAATCATTTTAACAGAACATACTCAAGTTGTTTACCATATAAACATTGTTGTTAAACAAATAAACACCACTTTACATAGTAAAAAGAAAGTCTTTAGAACTAAACAAACCAAGTAAGTAAGTTATTATTTATAAGTTAACTTTGTTACTTATATCACGAATCAGAAATTTAGTTAATATTTGACTAAATTTATGAGATGATGTGTCGATTATTTTGTTAATTACTGGTTTATGTTTTTCTATTAAAAGTGAATCCTTAATTTTACGATCTAAGAAATTGTTAGCACTACTGACAATTTTAAATGTTATCGATCAATCCATCTTTGATGTATCGTAATTCCAAATATAATGTTTAACTACTGCACTACTGAACGTGTTCATTAATACACTTATGGAAAGGTCTTCCTGATGCAGATGGTTTTAC